GAGTGGAGGGTCATTGGCCGGTGAACAACGGATTTGCCATTGAAAAGGTAACGACCGGAAAGGGTCTTGGATCGGACCGAGTCACTGGGATTTGACGGACGAAAGCCCGAGAAGGAAGCCGAGGGGAGAAGCGGGCGAAGCAGGAAACCGAGACGCGCTAGCGTATTACGGTACTAGCAATGCGGCCTTGTGGGGCTTGGATGATAGTCGGGTTCCCTTAGTACGCGATATGGCCTGTCTTGCGGCTTTCCAGATTCTGCAAACTTTCTGTAGTCACGGACGCTGGTACAAGTAAATAAAAAGGTGCCCTAAATGCTGAAGGTGTTGGATGTTGAGAAGTACACACACTCGGAAATTTTCTATGTGGGTAATATTAGGGTAATATATATACAGTATAGTCTCATGCTGCAACTGAAAATAGGTGTGATCTGCTGTTAGAGTCACATATGTATGCCAGCACGTGGCATCAACCAGCTTGAGTGGTGATATCCCAAGCATCCAATAGCTTCTCAACTTCTCCAGTGATCGAGGATGACGTGAATATGTTTTTCTTGACGCAGCTCCAGTGCTGATGAGGTCGTGCCACTGCCACGTAGTGTCTGACTCAGTGGGCACGGCACTGTGCGGGAAACCGAAGCGCTTCGTTCCCCCACGTTCCATGCCTTCCCCGTATTTCACCGTGTCGCTGCACAGTTGAAAGGTTTGGGCTTGGTCGTCCCGTTAGGACCCCAGGCCTTGGAGCCAAAGAAAAGTTTCGCGTCGCTTAGCCCCTTTCACCAAGTACTGTAACTGCGCTGATGGGCTGAGGCTACATTTCTGCAGTTTGCTGAAACCCCACCGAAAACATCGGGCAGAAACATCTCGATGTGACTTTCACTCGCCGAATGATACAGCGGCCACATCTTCAGGACGTCTGGAGACGCACTTCAGAGGTGGCTGTCGTGTTCCGGAGTGCGACATCACCCACCCTGACGCTTTTTCTGCGATTGAAGTCTTGTATGTCGCACGCTCGCGAACCTTTGTGCAAAGCAGGCCACTCGGTGCAACCGCATAGTCACGAACCTTTCGCCAGGATGTTCCGAACAAGTCGCGCTCTCGCCACACCCTACGCGTTTCACATCCATCGAGCCGTCCGCCGAAGCAAAATCTGAGCATCCCGTCCATCCATCTCAAAACAGGAAACCCATCGCACGGGCATCATGCCCCGCGCCACGACAACTTTGCAAAAGTGAAACCTTGCGAAACAAACCAGTTGCGGGAGAAACAGGGGAACGGGCGCGGGGAGGTAGCAGCGCCCCTACTGTTTTTGGCATTGACGAACCCTGTTGGTCGAAGCAGCAGCAAGAACTAGCCTGGCCAGCTCTAGAAAACTGCTAACGAGCTGTGCTGTCACCAAACCAAACCCCTGGTTACCCACGCCCTCCAACCGCTCCTAACCAAACCACGCCGCTCTGGCTGGCTGCTTGCTCCTTCGTTTTCGACACTACGTCAAGGTGCCAACCAATTCCGCATCTTTCGCCCCTCTCTCCATCCGCGCAACTCCCGAGACGGGTCTCCATGATTTCTGGCATTACAGCCACAAACCCCCTCCAGAGATGTTCCTGCTCTATCAACCTATCCCCGACAAAGCCAGCGCGAATTATTTATTTGGCTGTCAGCTGTCCCCCTTCCAAGCCCGCACGGCACACGGCACGTACTCGTTCATTAGCAGAGAGCGCACGTCGTTTCATCGCATCGCAACCACCCATTCTCTCCGCGCACGTCGCGCCTTGCCCAGTCTTCACCGTCTCCATTCGCCTTCTCCTATCGCGTTGCCGTTCTCCTCCAATTCGCCTCTCCATCTCCTATCCACATCAATTCCTTGCTCCCCTCCTCCGTTCCCTCTTTACCGCGCGTGCCTCTCGGCCTTTCGCTAGCCTCCACCCAACCCATATTCCTCGCAACGTGCGAGCCACAACCCTTAGATCCCCTTACAAGGGTCCACTTGAAGCCGTAGAGGCATCTGAGGCACGTTCGAGTGCGTGTTACAAGTCCTAGAGGCGTTTGCGGAGCCTTTGAAGCGCATTCCGTGTTGCAAGCCATAGATACTAAAACTGCGTGTTCCGTGTTCCGTGCTGCACTGCGGAACCACGGCGTCAGCTGAATGCTCGAGACGTAGCTTGGCTTGTGATGCGTTAGCCGGGGCGACAAACCGGCAACCGTCCTCAAGCCTTTCCATTCTTTCATTCTTTCCGCCAGTCAGCGGCAACTCTGACGCTCAACATCATCTCTGAGCGCCCGCATTGCTTTCGCCAATCTTTCACCCGCAGTTTCGACTTTAGCGAACTACGGCGATTTTCTTCAAAGTCCCAGGCGTTTAACCAGCGTACGACCTGTACCCGTTATTGACAGCCTCGCGTCAAGATGCCGCCGAATAGCAGCCCGTGGTCGCCTGCAGCGTGTATACCTTCCATCCCAATTCCCGAGCTCCGACTTCCTACGACTGTCGCATGCAACAATGCGACGTCGCCGTGCGACTCCATCAAGATCGAGGCGAGAAAGAGCGAGCGGGTTACCAGCGGCACGCGATTTGAGCGTTCGCCAAGCCAGGCATACCGGGACATGCTGGCGGATAAATGGTTCGCTTCCACCTGGTAAGTAGCCAGGAATAGGAGAGCTCCTAAACGCAATCGTACGTCTTCAGGAGGTAACGGGTTCTGAAAAGCGAGGATATCTAAATTTCAAGGTGAAATGTGACGGGGAGGTAAGGCAGGTGGACAGGAAGAGCGGGATGCGGAGACACGCGCAAGGGGCGGGGATGGAGGGGAGAATTGAGTGGAAGAGCGGGTGAGGGAGAAGAGGGGGGGGGGGGGTTGCTTCTGGTGGGAGGAAGGAGTGGGAACCAGGCGTATTGTGAGCGAGCTGGCGGAAGGGGGAAGGGGGGGGTGGGGAGTGGGAGAGTGGGGAGAGGTAAGAGGGGGGTGCTTCTGGTGGGAGGAGAGAGTGGGAACCAGGCGCGTTGTGAGGGAGCTGGCGAAAAGGCTGTTGGAGGGGGGGGGGGGGGGGGGGAGGGGAGGAGGGGAATGCTCTACTGCCTAAACGAAGTCAGAGGCGTCAATAGCATCCATTACCTTCCCGCCCCTCTCCCCATCCCTTCTTTCCCCCCCTCGCATCCCTTCCTCCCCCTTCCCCTCCCTCCCTCCCTCCCCTCCCCTTGTCTTTCAACGCTCACCCCTCCCCCCCTCGGTCGCCCCGTCTGGTTTGCGATCACTTCAAACCCGCTTATATTCCTTCCTCTCGTTGGCCGTCTTTGC